GACAGTATTTTGAAATTCGTGGCTTCTCCCTTGAATTTACCTCAGTTTCTCAAAATCAGGACACAGACATTATCTCGAAAATACAAATATTTCAAATAATCTTATTTGAATCTGAAAATTAAATACTTTACTATACACCATAACCTCTACACTCGGAGCCTCTGGGAGTTTCACTTCCATCTTTTACTTGGAAAGGCAATCCATTTCTCTGTTTCCTTAGACTCTAATAGTCAAAACCCAAAGTTTTTTGACTTTGTAATTTAAACAACTGTTTATCCCACAGTTCTTACAAGATGATGGCTTCAACATGCCATGTAACGCTGGACATCTGCCATTCCATAAGGGAGGAATCGTCATTAGCAAGGGAAGATAAGAAGAAGTGAGACAGAAATGCAGTGGGAAATCCCACATCTTGCTACATCATGTACATGGCATCTGAGCATCCTGATTGAAGTTATGTGGACTCCAAAGAATTGTGTCAACTCAAACTTCCATCTCTGTGCTCTGAAGAACAGATAGCCTTTGTCTAGACTTTGCCATGTTATTGTCATGAGTATAAGATGGGTTTCCAACACAAATTAGCTGTCATCTGTGTGTTTCATTGTGAATCAGTTCCTTTTAACCTTGTGACAAAGTTCCAAGTTGCTCTACATAGAGTACCTTAATTGCTGTCAAAACCAGTCAAATGTGGAAAATGCTGCCAAGTTATGCTTCTATCTTGGATGGTGCAAGATCCCAAAGCACAGTTCTATTTGTCACTGAGTGCTGCCCTGGGGATACTTCCTTAGATGTGCAGTTTTGAGCACAAAGCCCCTACAATGTCTCTGACCTTTGAAATTAAATTGCACTTCCACTAGATACAGACTTCTATGGATGTGTGTCTCGAAGTGTCAAGGCAGGGGTGTGTGAGTTCATGTGGTTCCATGGAAAGAAGACTTAGAGGCACCTAAGAATGAATCTAGCCTTTGTGGCTGCAGGGGGATCCATTCTCTAAGGACGGAAACACTTTCCCTTTGCCCAGGGCATTTTCATTTTTCTCTATATTTACACTGTAGCCAGCTGATTTCTACCAGAGACTTCTTACCTCTCTGAAATCTCTGACTGAAAAGGGACCAAGCTCCTGTCTCTGCCCCAAATTAATCCCTTCCTCTCTCCACCCAGCCATATTACTTCCTGTCTCCTGTTTGTACAGACCTCCAGATTTCTATGGTATAGCTAGTGGTTAGCTATATGGTTAGCTAGTGGCTAGCTCTACCCTGTGGTCATCAGGCAAGCTTTATTAGTTACAGCACAAATGATATATCATCACATTTCCCCCCTTTTTTCTAAAATAAAGGTTATAACTAATATAAGAAACACTATATACAATGAGCACAATAACTATATACAGTATATACAGACTAATTATATCAACAGTATCTAGTCCATTAACATTTGACAAATTCAGAGAAAATACTCCATTATTTATCCTATCTTGGTGAGTCCAAAGCGTTGTACCTAATTTACCTTCTATCATAATTTGCATTACCCAAACTTTTAATGTCTCTCAGCCCAACACACTTTACACCTCTTTGGTGAATTTCTTTTCTGAATCCAGTAATATGGAAACCTTTAACTATAACTATAGAGTCTTCAATTTCATCAGAGACCCAAGAAAGAAATAATGTTCCCTGAGTAAGAAGGAAGGGCAAGCCAATGGACTTCCAAAAAATGTGAGAAATGACAGAAACAGCTGGCTGCCTGGATAGTCACCCAAGGTTCCTCTGCAATGTTGGGGAATCCATCTTTGGCCTACAGGCCTAGCATATCTGATAGATTTATCTGTGAGGCAGGATATTCTAAAGGGCTGTCCTACCTTGCCTTGGCAAAGTCTGACAGTTGCTTTCTTTTGTGTCTTGCTTGGCCAATTTGGATAGCACACTGTCAGCAGTCAAGGCAAGAATACTTATTTTCTTGCCCCGTGTCTAACTTTGCCACAAGGAATGCAAGCACCATATGGAATTTCTTCAATGTCCATCATCCTTTCTGAAATAGAATGTTGCTGCCAGGACCATACACGTCTCATTGTCATAAAAAAAAAAACAACTATGCTATTAAAACATCTTAAATGACATTCTGTAGTATGCTGAAGTGTTTGAAGATGATCTATCTAAAACATATCTCCATTTGACCTTGAAAACATACCTAATATGACAACAAGTTTGATGATACTAACTACTCACTTGTTTTTCTTTATATCTAAATGAGTTGGTAATAATAAATTTCATGGACTAGAAATTTGCATTACATTGTTCAATAAGTTGTATAGGTAGAATACCTTGATTAAGAGTAGAAATGCATGTATAGTATATTCTAACAAAAATAATCTCAAATTTGTATCAATACACAAAGATCCATACCAATGTAAAAATAGTTAAAACAAGCAGTTGCTTTATATAAATAAATTCAATAATCTACCCCTTTATCCCACCATATCTATATCCCCCCTTTTTCTATTCAGAGTAGATTCAATAATCTACCCATTTATCCTATCATTTCTATATCCCTTTTTTCTTTCTTTTTTTCAAAATAAGAACCCTGAATCTAATATCCCTTTCAGCTTTTTTATTTACCATTACCAATAACAATTTGTAACCAACTTCCCTAAATAATGACAAATATCCATAACCCATTGAAAGATCAAAAATAACCCACTCCACCTCTTGGAAATGTGGGTGTCCTGTTCTTAAACTTACTTCCTTCTCTCTGGGGCCAATAGCATCTTTAGGGAATCCTGAAAAGAAATACTTGGAATAATTATCAAGTCAAAGTCAGAGATTTCATGCAAGGAAACACATGAGTAGGTAAGACAGAAATGCAGTGGGAAATCCCAAATCCTGCAACATCATGTGCATGGCACATGGGGATCCTGATTGAAGTTTCAGGACTCCAAAGAATTGTGTCAACTCCAACTTCCATCCTTGTTCTCTAAAGAATAGCTTTTGTCTAGACTTTGCTGTTTCTGTCATGAGCATATGATGGGTTTCCAATACAACTTAGCTGTCACCTGCATAATTCATTATGAATGGGTTCTCTTTAACTCTGCTGCAAAGCTCCGTGTTGAACTACATGTTGCACCTCAGTGTCTACAAAAGTAATGCAATGTGGACAATGCCATCAAGTTCTGCTTCAATCTTGAGATAGTGCCAGCCCCCACAGCATGGTGTCCTTTGTCTCTGGGCTCTGACCCTGGAGAAACTTTCCTGGAAGTGTAGTTCGAGCCTGACGCTCTACATTGGTCTCTAATCCTTATTGCATTGCCAAAAGATAGAGATTTCCATGGATATATTCTTGGATCAGAGCACATTTCTCGTTGATTCAAATTACCAGGATTGCCAATATTGACCTTAATCTCTCCAATGATTATAATAGATTTCATATTGACTATAAATTTAAAGTTACTGTGGTCATCGAATAAGAATGAAAATGGTGGGGCTGGAGAGATGGCTCAGTGGTTAAGAGCACTGACTGCTCTTCCAGAGGTCCTGAGTTCAATTCCCAGCAACCACATGGTGGCTCACAACTACTTGTAATGAGATCTGGTGCCATCTTCTGGCCTGCAGGGACACATGCAGGCAGAATATTGTATACATAATAAATACATAAATAAATCTTTAAAAAAAAGAATGAAAGTGGTATGAAAAATGCCATTGTTTATCTTGTGGTATAAACATGTCTGTTTAAAAGCAGATAAGCATCCAATCATTTATCATAGCTTGGAGTATGTAGTTCATCCATAAATGCATGGCCCTCAGATTTACTGTGGAAGCAAGATTTTACAGTGTCCAAATTTATAAAACAGTGCCTACCCTCACAGCCATATGAAAGTAGCCAGCAACCAGGATTTCACTGCAGTGCCCTGAGAAATCAGTGCAGGTTCATATGGCTGCTGCTCACTAGGCAGCCAGGTGACCACATGGAGTCAAATGTTTGGTCACCTCTTGGACCCTATGAGCCTGCTGGAGACAGGTACAAACTTCAGGTGCAGTGCAGTCTGTGGTTAGAGCCACAGAACCAAAGTAGCCTCTGAGACAACCACAGCATAGACTATGAGTGCTGCAGTGACACCTGGAACATCACAAGTCAGCACCTCACACCCATTATGACTTCACACCATTGGAACCAGTGATCTTGTCTCTGCACTGTCTCATTTCAGTCTTGGGCTATGCTCAGGGAACCTCATACCTTACGACAGAGATATTTATACCCTGTGTTTATTGCTTCTTTATTCTCAATTGTAAAGAACCTGAATCAACATAGGTGTTCATGAACAGAAAATAGACAATAAGTTTGTAAATATAAATGTATATGTTTATTATATATACATGCAGAGATGTGGTGCTAATTAGCAATAAAGTAAAATCACAAAATATACAGAAAAATAGATGGACATTGAATATATATCAGCTGAGGTAATCCAATCATATAAAGAAATACATTGCATTTTCTCTCCCATATGGTTAATATAAACATTAATATATGTGCATATGTGTATAGATGTAACCAACCGTCTTATTAAATAAGAAACACAGAAACAATGCAAAAGAGAAAGCCGAGAGGTCAGAGCTCAGAGCTGAAATCTCACCCTTCCGCCTGCGCCTGCGGTGTCCCAGCTTCCCGAATCAGGGCTCTATTTCCTGTCTGTTAGTCTATTTAAAGAGACAGAACAAGCCACAGCTATCTCACCTCACCAGTTCCTCAGCTGGTCCTGTTTCCTCAGACTGGAAGCTTCTGTGTCCTCATCCCAATAGCTCTCAGCTGAACTGTGTTGCTCCAAAGCCTGAAAGCTTAACCAGCCAAATGCTTCTAGTTTCTGGTCCTCACGCCTTATATATCTTTTTGCTTTCTACCACCACTCCCTGGGATTAAAGGCTGGCTTTCTGGGATTAAAGGCGTGTGCCACCACCGCCACACTCTTGCTATGGCTCTAATAGCTCTGACCCCCGGGCAACTTTATTTATTAATATACAATCAAAATCACATTTCAGTATAATTAGATTACCACCACATTTGTGAGGAAATGTATATGTGTGTACACTATGTAAAGTAGAAAAGAGAATAAGGTTTAAATATTTGAAGATGAGGAAGGATTTAAAGCAGGTAATGAACATGGTTTGTGAAAGAGGACATATGATAACAGATTGTCAGGTTCCAACTCTGTCATGGACTTTAATTTTCATGGTGTATAAGTGCATAAAATATATTCAGTACAGATAGTGTCAAATCCAGTGTTAATGCCTCAGATTATATTTGGAATATCTGTTCTAACTGCACAGAAGTTCATCACCTCTGTAATTTCACAGGCTTTCTGCTGGGCCACCAACCTGCTCCCAAATCATGACATGGAGACTTATTAGTTATGAATGCTCTGCCTTAGCTTAGGCTTGTTTCTTGCCAGCTCTTATAACTTAACCTGTTTTTCATCCACATTTTGCCTCGGGGCTCTTTACCTTCTTTTTTTCTGTACATATTACTTCCCTGCTGTCTCCATGGCTGTCTGGAAGCTGCCTGGCTTCAGGCCCTGGGGGGTCCCTCTCTGCCTTCTTTTTTCCTTTTCCTCCATCTTAGATTCCTCTTTCTATTTTTTCCTTCTGCCTACAAGCTCTGTCTATCCCTCTCTAGCAATTGGCTATTCAGCTTTTTATTGAACCAATCAGGTGCCTTAAGCAGACAAAGTGAAGCAAATTCAGCATATCTTTATATCATTACCAAAGGCAGCAGAAACAAATGTAACACAACGTTACACAATTAAAGTAACATTTCATAGCATCAACAAATGAAACATACCTTTCCCAAGTTAAAACAATATTTGAGAACACTGTAGTTTTCAGGTATTGTTAATTTTCACATATGAATTATTTTACTTTTAAAATATGTTTAATATTACAGAAAGAAATGAGAAATGGCAGCTGAGATTATGAGTCTCTGCTCTACTATTTAGTCCTAAGAGGGCGCATTTCTGCTATAGCATTTACTCCTGAGGATCGTGTCTCTGCTATACTATCAACTGCTGAGAGCATATGTTTCTGCTGTACTATTTACTCCTGAGTGGGTCTGTCCCTGTTATACTATCTACTCTTGACAGTGTGAGCCTTTGTTATACTATTTACTCCTGAGCTTGGGAGTCTATGCTGAACTACTACTCCTGAGAGTGTGTGTCTGCCATAGTTCTCACATAAACTCATCCCTTGAAAAACTTTCTCCACAGACTGTAGCTTAAAGAGTCATACTCTTCTAGAAGAACTGTATAGCCATTAAGGATACCTTTCCATTCATAAGGAAATATCCTTCTATGTTCTGAGGAAATTAATAACTAGGTCTATAGAGATGTCAAGCTAGAAGAAAATATTGGCTCAAAAAACACATAGGAAACAGGACCTTAGTTCAAAGTCTACTGCTGACCAATTCTTAGACATTTTTCTTAAAAATAGAACCTTCCCACACACCAGCCTTTCTGTTATTAACTATGATGGAAATTAAAGCTGGAAGCATAGACTCCCTTTGTTATGCAATCTAGAGGCTTATTTGTTTCTCTTTGTTTCCTATAATGTATATGACTTTTACAGGTTAGCAAACTGATATTAACAAAACTGATATTAACAAAACTAAAAAATGATAGAAGGTATGTGATGTATAGTCTTCTAACTTCCTACCCACCTAGGTCATATGACTGTTACTCTCCTTCCCTAACTTTCATAATGATGGATAACCAGGAACAACAACAGCTGTGATCTCTATGGATGTAGGAGGGAGGTCAGGGAAGGTGGTGAGGCCACTGTTCACCTGTTGTGCTCATGGCAAAGCCAAGTGGAAGATACAAGGTGAGTCTGGCTGCATCTCATCTCTGCAAAGCCATCCCCGTCTCTTTCCTGAGGTTACACTGATACAGGGCTTTTTAGTCCTTAGCATCTGAGCCCTTCTGGGAGTCACTCCCTTGATCCCTCATGATGCCTTCCCAGTAGGATGCTGACCCTCTGTAAACTTTATGACAGCCAGATTCATGTGCTGTAATCACTGCTAAAACAAGTCAAGTTTGGACATATCCAAAACCAACGAGGTTTAAGATGATATTAGTTTGGGAGAATTGAATACATGCATATTGAATGTTTTACTCAAATCTCCACATTCCTTCACCTATTGCTTCTCACCCTTAGAAAAGAACATTGCTCTTCCACCTTCGTGGGCCTTTTCTTTGTTATTTCTTCATTCCACTTAGTGCTCCCTCCAGGTGTAGGGGACAACTGACTTCAACCCAAAAGCCTCTCAGATTGTCTCCCTCAGGAGTCATCAATTGCCAGTATCTAGAAGGTGAGAGACATATGGAAGCTCTTAGGCAACCATGCTTATTGTGTGATGGGGCTTAGCCTGTACAAACTCTCCATGTAGTAATAGACACAGCATGCTCATGCATGAAACGGTGCTGACATTTCTAGCAATGTTTCAAGGTTCTAGAAATGTTTCAGTAGTTCTTCTGTCTCAGTGCATGCTGCAAGCCACAAAAATATACAAAGTAGGATCTCAGGTGATTATGACAAAGCTAATCCCTGAAATAGGCCAAGGGCCTTCCAGAAGTCAAGCTGAAGCTCAAGGAGCCTTCATGATATTTGGCTTTTGATTATCAGCTGTTTCCTGCTATGAGTTTCTTGTGTGCTATTGTAGCTTTTCCATCATTGATTGGGCACCATTTTTCTTCTACTAAAGGAATATTTAGATAACCTTCTGCGCTGACAGCTATGCACAGCCAGAACCCCGGTTCAAGCCTCCCTGTATTTATCGTCATTGGCAGCATCTGACCAGGTCCATCCCCAGATGGAGGAAAGTACCTTATCAGAGATACCTCTGTACTCTCTAAGAACAGACTTAAGCATCCAGGCTACCCATTTGAGAAGGTCTGGCCGATGTGACAATTAAGCTTAACATTCTCCTTTCCCAAATCTTACCTCTAGTTCCAGATCTCCCTTTAACTATCACCAGAGGCATCTAGCTGTGCACAGGTTGCCTAGTGACTGAGCATACTTCCCCCACCCTGCAGAAAAACAGCAAATAGCTTAGACAGATAGGAGCCACAGGAAAAAAGAAGGCAGTTTTATTTTTTCCCATTGACCTAGCAACTTGCAGATTCTTAACGTTTTATACCAATCACATTTAAGACTATATTGGAGCACATAAGATCCCTCCTCTTAGATATTACCCAAATTTAGCCTTTAGTTAATTCATTTCTCCATTAGCTACTCCTTTTGGGTTGCAAATGATAATTAACAATTACTGCCCCTCTATGTGATTCTTATCACCCCTCCATTTGACTCTGGAAGCCTGGTGGTCACTGCCTGAGGAAAATTCTTACTTACCTTTATAACCCCATAGCATTCAAGCCTGGAGACCTTGCTTGACCAGGGCTTTGCTATTGCTTGGGTTTATAACTGGACTCCTGAGAGACTTTGGAGAACAGAGAGATGGAGAATGGAGAGGAATAAGGAGGATTTTGACCAGAGAGAATGTGTGGACAAGATGGAAGATGAGGAAGAGTCAGATGGGGAAGTCCTAGCGGGGCAAGAACAAGATGAGAAGACCTAGATGAGGCAGAATTAAGATAGAATTTAGAGGAAGCAGTAGATAAATATAAAGAAAAATCAGGCAAGAAAGGAGCTAGGCACGAGAACAGAACTGGAGCTGTGTATACAGGATGTTATGCCAGAGGAATTAAAGCAAGTGGACTATAGAGCTCAGTGTGCTGAGATTCTATTTCCTGAAAATAGTCCTTGCCGTTAGTAGTTCTCTCTCCTGAGCCCCTGGGATGTAGAATATTAAGGCCAGTCCCTCTGATAATATACAAGACCTGCAGACATCTACCATATCAGGCTCTGACATTCTTTCTATTGCTTTTCCCTTAGGAATCAATGACTTTTGACCTTAGATGTGTGTAAGGGACCTCTTCTACAATGTCTGACACAGGTGTAGCTTTTAATTAGGGCCTTCCACAGGCTAAAATTCTCTGTACTTTGACCAATGTGCATATGTGTATTATCCTCTATCTACAACATAACTAATATTTTCTGATGGGTGTTGAAAAGTACCTGACTCTGTGCATATAAACAACTTGGGTTCATTTAGATATTATGCATTTATTAGAATAAAGGCTTTAAAAATCTCACTAGGTCTTATCACCTAGCCAGGCAAAAGTATATCATGAAATTAACATCACATCAGTTCCCGTTTGTGGAATGAGCTTCAAATCCAATCAGGAAGTGATTGGTTCCTCTGATAACTTCCCTGCCATTATTGCTCTATGGGCACTGTTGTTTTTTATGAGGCACAGCAGCTGCACCTGATGCCATCTCTGCCTCAGCTGATGACTGTGTCTCTGCAGCTGCTGCCTTGATGCTGCAGCCTAAGACTGGAAGAGCCTTCTTGTAGTTTTAACTAACTCTCTATCCTTTTATTTTACCAATAAGAATTCCAGAGTTAAATGATGGATGAAAACCTGCTAGCTCAGAGACAGCTTCTTAAACACCAAGGGGAGATATTACAGGAGCTTGGATGACTCCACTGGGAAAAACAAGAGTAACTATGACACAGCCCAGATATCAGATTTCAAGAATCCAGTGGATAAAGTTAGGACATGGTAAAGGTTTCATGGAACATTTATAGTTACAGAAGAAAGGGACTCATTAATCAAGGCAAGTTTCAAACACATTGCTTCAACAAACTGTTGGATGTGACAGCAAAGAGAAGTCTCTACTCTTCTCTGATGACATTCTCAGCATTTTTGCTATTGGAAGTTAGAGGTTCCTGTTGAAAATCCAAAATAATTAACCTAATATTCTCTACTATGGATTAATTAGAAATGGATAAGACCTGAATTATCAGCAAAGATTTTACCACACTTCACACACTCATGGAATTTGTAGTCAGAATGAACCATTTGATGTGTTTTAAGGGCTGAAAAAGTAAAAATTTAAGACATTTGAAGGATTTCTCTCATTGATGAACTATATCGTGTTGAGTAAGGATATAAAAATTAGCAAATTCTTTGACACATTCCCCATACTTTTAGGGATTGTCTTCAGAATGATTTTTTTTATGACATCTAAGGGTTAAAGATAAGGAAAACATCATTACACTCTTCACACTTTTAGGGTTTCTCACCAGAATGAATTCTCTTGTGTTTCATAAAGCCTGAGTGATACCGAAAGCCTTTGTGACATTCCTCACATTTGTATAGTTTCTCTCCAGTATGAAGTGTTTGATGTTCCTGTAGACTCCTAGAATAGAAAAACCGTTTGCCACATTGTACACATGTATAGGGATTGTCTTCAGAATGGATTGTTTGATGTCTTCTCAAAGAAAAGGATGAGTAAAAACATCTGCCACAGTCTTCACATTTGTAGGGATTGTCTTCCCAGTGAATTATTTGATGTCGTCTGAGGGATGAAGGTGAGTTAAAACATCTGCCACACTGTGCACATTTGTAGTCCTCAGAATGGATTGGTTGATGTTTTCTAAGAGATGAAGATGAGGAAAAACACTTGCCACACTCCTCACACTTGTATGGTTTCTCTCCAGTATGGACTCTGTGATGTTCTTGAACGTGTGAAAAGCAGGAAAATCTTTTGCCACACTCTTCACACTTGTAGGGATTGTCTTCAGAATGGATTATTTGATGTCCTCTAAGAGATGAAGATGAAGAAAAACACTTGCCACACTGTTCACACTTGTAGGGTTTTTGTTCAAAATGGATTATTTGATGTCGTCTAAGGTATGAAGATGAACAAAAACACTTGCCACATTTTTCACACTGGTAGGGTTTCTCTGCAGTATGAATTCGCTTATGTACCTGAAGAAATGATGGTTCATAAAAAGCTTTGCCACATTCTATACACTTGTATGGTTTCTCTCCAGTATGAATCCTTTGATGATGTTTCAGCACTGAAAAAGTATAAAATGCTTTGCCACACTCTTCACACTTGTAGGGTTTCTCTCCAGAATGAATTCTTTGATGTTGCTTCAGCATTGAAGGATAGTAAAATAATTTGCCACATTCTTCACACTTGTAGGTTTTTTCATCAGTATGATTTTTCTGGTGTATAAAAAGTGATTCACGAGTATTAAAGGTCTTATGACATTCTATACACATATAGGGTTTTTCTCCAGTATGAAGTCTCTTGTGTATGGAGAGTGTTTTATGAGAACTAAGGCCTTTACCACATTCTTCACACTTGTAGAGTTTCTCCCTTTTATGAATTCTCTGGCGTTGAATATGCAGTGAGTTAAAATCAATGGCCTTTGTGTAAATGTGATAATCATTGGTGGTTATTCCTGTTGAGCAAAAGTTGAGATATCATCAGAGGCCAGGAAATAGTCTTCATACTTAATGTTTGTCTTTTTAAAGGAAACATTTACTTATATATATTGAAGCATCAGTGAGAAACTACAGTACACTTCAAAACCTATAGTCATTAAGCATAAATGATAAAATATTGGAGGTAGAAATAATCTACACTTCTACCATAATAAGGGCACAGCCAAATAGAACATAGACATAAGGTATATTATACAAAATTTAAAAGCTAAGTAAGTTGTAAGGGAATTTTACCAATAGAAATAAACCCATTAGCCATTAGAGATGTTCTATGACTGGAAACCCATGAAATTATAAATGAACCAAGCCAGGAAAAGAGAAAGTTAATTGTGCCTGTGTGAATTTGTAACATCTAAATGCAAAATTATTATTCACATAGAGTTTTATTTTGGAAAGTACAAAAGATATGCTGTACAAGAAGTAGATGGTCCATAAAAATATTGAATTTATAGCTCATAAATTCAGGACAATATTTTGTTTTATTTGGATGACAAGAAAATATAAATCTGAAACATGTCAAGTCCTGATTTAAAAAAAAATCTTCAGATTCACCTGTGCATTATACAACATTTACCAGAGACAACATATTTATCAGTGAATAGATGGTAAAATGACTGATTTCCTTTTTTTGTTTGTTTTTGCTTTTTCAAGACAAGGTTTCTCTGTGTAGACCTTTCTGTCTACCTGGACCAGGCTGACCTAAAACTTAGAGATCCACCTACCTCTGATAGTTGAGAATATCAAGGGGATCCTTATACCTATGCTTACCACCCAACTGGTATGTGAACTACATGCCAGTTCAAATGGCCATGTCTTGTTCCCTGGCTTTGAATTTGCTCCTCTTAACAAAGCTAATCCCAGAGCTGAGATGTCAATGCCTGATTGTGTAAGGAGTCCTCAGCAAAGTGGTAGATAATATATGACAGAGGCTCTGCCACAAAGCTAGTCAGCACAGCAGGGTGAACTATGGCACTCATTTAAACTAACTGACTTGTGGGATGTGTGAACCCATTACATCAGGTAAAGAAAGCAATATGGCCTGAGGAGGTGAGGTTTCCTGTGAAAGTTCTCCGAGAGCAGTCATTAAGTATTACCTTCCAGAGACATCTGAGACAAGCTCCACTGATGTGTAATAATCTTTTTGTACAATATGAATATGTATTACTCTCATTGCTAATAAAAATCTTATTGGTCAATGAAAGGTAGGATTTTCTAGACAGAGAGAATGTTAAGAATGGTGGAGTGAGGGGCTGGAGAGATGGCTCAGAGGTTAAGAGCACCGGCTGTTCTTCCAGAGGTCCTGAGTTCAATTCCCAGCAACCACATGGTGGCTCACAACCATCTGTAATGAGATCTGGTACCCTCTTCTATGTACATAATAAATAAATAAATCTTAAAAAAAAAAAAAAACACTTTAAGAATGGTGGAGTGAAAGGAGTTGCCAGCAAATGCACGGAAAACAAGATGAATGCACTGTGTTGGAAGAATGCAGTGCCATATGGCACAAGGTTGATAGGAGATATGGGTTCACTTCAAATGTAAGAGCTACCCAAAAATGAGCCTGCGGCACTGGCTGAGCATTTACAATTAATATTAAGTGTCCATTTTGGTTATTTCAGAGTGCCTTTTGGGACAGGAAAATTCCACCCACAAATGGCATTCGAACCTGGCACACCAACACCCACATAAGACCTAAGCAACCTTAAAAATATTCTAAATAGGCAAAAAACTGAGCCGAACAGGGCTTCCTAGTCTTTTGTCTTTCATGTGGGCCGCAGTACAGAGATGCATCTCCTGGCAGCTGCCTACAGATTAGAGCCACCAGCATGAGCCCTGCAAGCACACTGTGTGGTGGGTTTAGGGTTTTGCTCATGCAGACAGAAAAGGTTACAGATGCTCAGGAAAGACAGATTCAGATTTGGGGTAAAAAATAAATGTGATACGCTATGTTTAAAAGTGTGCATAAGATTGAGGGAAAAACAAAGAGGGTATAGACAGTCTAAAAATATATACATACTTTTAAAATAATAAAATAAAAGTCCTTCAAGAGGGAATAAAGTAATACAAAAATGCCACATAAACGGGGGAAATACACAAAGTGTCTGGATTCTGTATGTTATTGTCTTATATTTGGATTTCTGATTGCTAATGAAGGAACAACACTTGCTAAGACACATGGGACAATGAAAACTGCTGGATTAAACCAACCTGTATATTTTAAAAATATCATGACTTTAAAAAAGAAATCTAAAAATATGTTACTTTGGGAGATAGGTTATGTTTTTATTTCCACAGGACATGAGAGGCTGTGGATTCATTCAATCTTGATATGGATCAGGTTTGATCCAGGAGGAAACCCTGAAAATACTGGCTATAAACATAAAGAATATAAACCTAAAAAAAACTACAAAATGCATAATGTATATTTTACATGCTTAAACATAAAAAAATCAACCTTGGCTAACTTGAGGACAACATACAGTCTATACTTGTATTAATACAAATATCTATATTATCTTTAAAATTTTATATATTTTCAGAGCAAGGAGAACAGACAGCAATAAAAATGTATAGCCAGATGATGGAACATCTCAGTGCACCTCTGTTGCACTCTCCTTAGAATTTTGCATTTACAACACTTTCAAGGCTGCTGACTGAGATGATCCAATATCACAGACTATCCAGCCAAGACCTAACAATTATCCTGGTTTTCTCAAGGCTTCCCCAAAGATACCAGTGCCCACAGACAGCAGGAAGTAGTCCAAAGAACAAAACCCACATTTCCAAAATATGGGTTACAAGTGTTTATTATCATTTAAGGGGGATTGGTTACATGTTTTTATTAGATTTTTTTTAATGGAAAACAAAAGAGTTAAAGTCAAAGATTTCTTTCTAAAGGAAAAAGGAGGATATTGTATAGAAATGATGATATAAAAGGGTAGATTATTGAATCTACTTTAAGCCAAAAGACAACGATTAATTTCAATATATTTTACATTGGCATGCATTTTGGTTTATTGATACAAATTTGAAGTTTATTTTGCTATACTGTATGCATATTACTAATCTTGTTTAGTGTATTGTGTTTATACAGCTCATTTAAAAATATAATGTGTAATTAAAAATACAGGTTAGTAGTTAGTCATCTATATAATCAAACTTATGTTAGATATGTCTTCAAGGTCATAAGCAGATGAATTTAGATAGATAGATAGATAGATAGATAGATAGATAGATAGATAGATAGATAGATAGATAGATGATAGATAGATAGTGCTCAAACACTTCAAAGATCAACAGAATATGGCATTTAAGATGTTTTAATAACATAAGGCTGGCATACCTGGCACAGGACTGCACATGGCCAGAGTCACTACCCTGTTGGCTAGATTTTCCTTTCTTTTCCCCATGCCCTCTGAGGGAGTCTGGGATTGTTCTCTTGCAGCCTATCTGCAACAAACTCCACAGGCTTTTGGACTCCAAAAATCAAAGTAGTTAGCCGCTTTTGCATGTTCCTCCATGAATACAGCTGGCTCTTTGGCTTCTTCCCTCTCCTGGTGGGTGTGCGCTTTCCCTAGATGGGCCACTAGCTCAGTTGCCACACTACATAGCTGGTTTAACCATTGATTGGGCTTCTACTGTTCTATGCATCAGATCTTCAACATCAGCAGCAACAGATTTGGTGAGATGATTGGGATTTTTTAAAAGGGGAAATTAGTTAAAAGAGAGTTTTGTCCCACATTAAAAGATAGAAAATACTATTACAATAGAGGGAGTTAGGTCTCTATATGGTAATACACTGGATGGTTTGAAAATGGAACAATTAAATGAAAGGATAATTAAGGTAGATGGGAATTACATAATGTCAATTATAAATATTATCTGATCATTTTGTTTTATCACTAAAGATGTTGGTTAATATGAGTGTTAAGTGACAAGTCTTACAAAACTATTAAAACAGATCATAGAGATATTCAAATCCAGACAGAGGAACTTAAAGGTAAACCAATCTCAGCATTGCATTATAAGGTTACAGAGGAACAGCCTAAGGTTTCAAACAGCCAACCTTAATTTATCCAGTGACCTTACAGGAACTGCCAAATGACAGATATCCTCAAGGCTGTGTAAGAGCTGACTGGATTCCTGTGCAAATGTTAGATTTGAGGATATTCAAAGAACTGATAGTCTCATATGGCATTCATTCACCTTTGTAAAGCAGATGTTAAACTCATGGTCAACTTGTAATACAGTTATCCCTGAAGACTAGAAAGACTGGGTTCTAGCAGTCTTGAAGGCTGGTCCTCAAGTGGAGGACCTGGAAGAAAGATGAGGCTAAGATCACTAAACAATGAAGTAGGGCTAGAGGTATGGAAATCTCCCAAGACCACATTCTTGGAGAGGGCAATTATGCTAATGTAGAAAGGCAATCTCTATATGATGAACATACCCTGTCTTTATGTCACACAGCAGCCTTGAATGCTTGGGACAGAATTGAAGAAGTAGGAAAGAAAATTGACTTATTTACTACAGTTATACAGGGCCCAAAAGAAACCTTCAATGATTTTTTTTAACAAACATTGACTTTGGTGATAAATAGAATGATACTAAATTCAGAAACCAAACTAATAATAATTGAATCTCTGCCTTTTGAAAATGTTAATTCACAATACAGAAGGGTAATTAGGCCACTAAAGGCAAGATCAGCACCCACAGAAGAATGGATTTGAGATACAGTCAATATTGAATCTCATAACCATAATGGTGCCTGGATAGGAGAAGTGGTTTCCAGAAGTTTGAAGAAAAATCATGTTAGGTATTTCAATTGTGGTAAATAAGGTCGCCTAACAAAGGATAGTGCCCACAGCATTGCTAAGAATAATCCAAACAGAATGCCCCTCCCTTCTGGAGTATGCATAAGGTGTAGCAAAAGATGACATTCAACCAAGGAATGTAGATA